GTAACAAATACCATATTTATTCTTTTTCATACTCGCTACAAAAATTATTTGCAGCAAATGCAAAATATTTGTCAAATATGTAAATTTGTTTGCTACATAAATATCGAACAAATTTTACAATTAAATTTTTTAATCCTTTTCGCGTTTATAGCAAATCTTTTCCCTCTGTGCAGGAATGACTTTTGCGACGCGATGTACTTAATGAGAACTCAGGAATCGAATATATAGTGTGAGTTTCAATAATTAATTGTTCCTTAAGGGAATGATAAAAAGTGCCGAGTCTGCTTCGCGCCGGATATCCTATAGGACCAGAGATTAAAGCTCCGACCACTTCGGCTTTTTGTCCTTATCCATGACGAGAAAGGGGCGCGAAATTGAAAAGTGGCGACGTTAATTAAGAGCTTGGCCTTTTTGTATTTGTCTATATTATCTGCATCATCACTCGACATTTACTTTATTTTTAACTTCCAATACCATTAATTCAAGATCGACAAATGAAGATATTTCCCCATAATGTTATATTTTTATTAAACCCAAGATAAATATAATCTAGAATTCGATCGATTCCGCGTACAACCGGGAGTTGCAGAAAAGGTGAAAGGGAAAAGAGAAAAAGAGAAAGAGAAAAGGAAAGAAGAAAGAGAGTGCTGGATCCCGTAGCGGTAACGAGTCGAGACGGCCCGAGAACATCGGCGGTGCCACTTCAAAGCGAGAATCCCGCGCAATCAGGCCCCCCTAGCCCTCCCGAGGCACGTTTGAAAAACCGAGCGCGAGGGCACCATCGCGTTGTCCCCGCGCCTCTCGCGTGCCCTCTCACCGCTTCGCGCAGCCTCGCGATCTCGGTCCAGAGCGACCGGAGCGAGAACAGAGATCGTCTCGCAATCGAGAGAGCAACCTCGCGACATCGATGCCGATGGTACTACTGTGCTTTCTCGTTCTCTCTTTTTCTATAGTCCCTTTCTGCAATTAACAATAATACTTGTTTCTACCAATGCAGGTTAACTTTATAACCTCTTCATCTTTTTCTAATTCTTAGAATAAAAAAAAAATAAAGAGTTAGTTAAACCAGGATTAAAATTAAATCACATAGAAAGGGACATAAGAGCTACTACCAATATAGATTAACTTTAATCTTGGTTCAAGTTACTTTCATCTTTTTTTAGTATACATATAGATTGACTTTAATCTTGGTTCAACTTACTTTTCATCTTTTTCTAACTCTAAGAATTAAAAAGATGAAAAGTAGGTTGAATCGAGATTAAAGATAATCTGTATTGAAAACGAGCATAAAGCTTTTATTGTATGTTTATTATACCGTAAAACAAGGACTTATCATTCGTCTAACAATAAAATTTTATTAAAGAAAATTTGTGTCGTGTTTGTGTTACTGAAGCAATGTCAAATTAAAATAAATATTAGTATAAAATTAGTATTCTTAATGGAATGTACATTTGCTATGAGAATAAAATACATTTAATAGCTATACAAAATTAATATTTGTGTTCGAAATATTTTTTCTCGATATTAATTACGCCATATCTACACAATCCGTCCGAGTTTGCGACGCGCTAAAGTATTGTTAGAAAAGATGTAGAAATGAATTAATTAGTCGGATCATACGGCTCGCACGCGCCATGGTACATTAATAAATTACTTTCCGTTCTCTCTGATTCTCCTTCACATTTGCACTGCTCTGTGATAACTGTAAATGTGGAACGACGTCATTAGTGGCCACCGCGATGCACAGGTCCGCGCTTTTTTAATTGCTGCTTTCGGTCACGTGTGTCTAGGAAAATATCCACCAAGACAGTTACGAGTAATTACACCCGTATAAAATATTACCGCTGTATTAAATGCGAAATGAGTGCTTGGATATAATTTAATGCATTTCTACCGTCAACGTAATAAATCCCCGCTTTAATACCCTTTTCTTTTCTCTCGTATAAAATCCTCTCTCTACTCTAAGCTCTGAGATCTGCGCTCGTTGAATTAACGTAATCTTCGAAGGACCATATCGACACTGCAAAATCGTGCTTCCTGTTACTTTATGGAGCGATATTTTTTTTCACGACAGCGAAAATTAAATTTTATGAGATTGGTTTGATTTAATCGCTCGATAATCATGTCATCCGATGTTATCGAAAGCATTTTCTTGTAGATTGTTTAATAAGCACAGCTTGACCTTTTTTGAATAAATTCTCTTATTGGTTTATAAGTTATTTAATTTTTTTGTTTGCCTCGATTCGTACTTTAATTTTATACGAAATATTTTGCTTTATTCACTTGGCAATCTTCGACAGAGGAATATGACAGAAGCAGGAGAAGAAAGCTGGAAACGGGCATCTATCGGTGTCAGAGAGCAATAAATACTTCGGACAGGACGATCCGTTGCACGCACGCGATAACGTCGCGCGTCAGAGAACGATCCTGACCATCTCCGTCGCGTCGCGTACGAGAAGCGCAGATTACTCACGCCGATATGAATAGTTATTCGCGGTAATTGGTCGAGACCTCGTTGCTCCGTCGAGATTTTCACCGTGCGCCGTCCGCCGAGTCAGGTTTTGTTAAACACGCTTCTGATTGCTTCATCCGCGCTATCTCCGCATCGGGCTTTCCTTCACGGAATAGCCGCCCGTAAAATGCAAATGTTCGAGTTGGTTAACGGTAAGGCTACGTCGCGAGCGAGTGTCGCCTGCCTTTTTTACGATTGGCGCAAACAAATTAATTATATTGTCGCAGACGTAGTTGAGGATTACAGCGTAAACTATCGATTTTCGATTTTACTTCGTATAAATCCTGACTTGCATAAATCAAACAAATCGCAAGAAAATAGTTCGTAATTTTTTACACGGGATAAATTGGAATACATCTTGTAGTGTGTGCAAATTAATTTATTAATAAATTCTTATTAATAAGAGAGAGCTATAAACTGATATTTTCTGCTAGGTTGCTTTCCAAAACTCGACTCTGTCAATCCGAGTATCATTTTAACCTTGTTTTTATCGAATGTTGAACAAGGATAAAAGATACTCGGAGTTGACAGAGTCAAGTTTTGGAACGCACTCCTGATAATCTCAGTGATGTTTCAATAGATCTACCAGGTATGTAAATATGAAACCGGAATTTTTTAATAGAAAGTACACGTTTATTGCATGAAAATGATAAAAAATATTTTATTCGAAGTATTGACGATCGCTAGCTATTCATCCGGATCCAAATGACCCATTCATGTTATAATTGAGGGTCAAATGTAACTATTTTTTAAATGCTGTGAAAAATATACTGAGAACCAAATGAGAAAATCCAAACATTTATGTACGTTTATATGAAGATTTATTTATATAATAGATAACTTGCACGAAGACCTTGCATTTGACTTTTATGCTCCTATTTTTTATTCTAACTATTGTCATTTATACTGCTTATGTCACTTACTACTATAGTCACACTAAAATTGCAAGACCTTGGATCTTGTGTCACGAATATTTACGGCTGACGCTTATTAAAAATAAGATATCATCAAAGTCAGAATAAAATAACAAAAATCGTAATATGTCTGAGGTTCATTTAAAGAAATGGAAAATTATTCAATGGAAGTTTTCTTTTTTATGGAAGTTATCTTTAGATATGATTTTCTAAAGATTTGTTGAAACCATTAAAATAATTAAACACGCAAACATAACACACGAACATTTTTGAAGGATATTATCAAGCTGTATACGTATATATAAATATATATATGTATATATACATATATACATATTTTGCTTCGCGATAATTTGCATATTTATCACCATAAAACTAAATCGTAGATCTTGTTGCTTTCTTCTTCATTATTTATTATTAATACCGAATAGTACGTACCACCTATGTGACATATATACACATTACACACATATACCAATATTAGGTGTTAAACTTAATTCCTGCCGCTTGCTACTAGAGGGTGCTGGCTCCAACGCTGG